GATTTACTGTTATCCTTTTTATATATGTTAGTCCGCTGTGATAGCATCCTTGTAAATCAAACATAATACCATAATTATTAAAGCATGTACATAATGGAACCTTACTATTGTTTTTGGCATAGTATTTGCAAAGTTTCTAATTGACCTTAAAGTATTATCCAACTATCACAGTAATTAATACCATACACCCAATCTTCATCCTCCCGAGCTCCCTTGCCCCACATTACTGGCCTTTCTCTTCAATAAGGAGCATTTCATGTTCTAGACTCCTGACAGCCATATTACTTCTCCGTTTTGTCAGCAAATCAAAAAACCTTGGTTCTCTTCACCTGTTAACTGTCGCACTGTTCAAGCGGTGCAGAGAATGTATCAAAGTTACAAGGCTCTTCTTTTTTTTTTATAGGGATATATAGTATCTGAGCCCATGGTGTTTGATGTACATTGAAAAATATCCTACAAATGGCTTAACCCACATTATACTACTATAGGTAGAGCACATAGGCAACTAAAAGGCCTCCCTGTTCTGTAAATGAGAGTTGGACAGTAATGACAATTGCTCCTAACTTTCCTAACATTTATCAAACATTTGTTGCAAGAATGTCAGAAGTATTTGTGCAAGCTGAAGCAAATATTAGTTTGCTAGCTAGTGGCCAAAACATGGTATAATTTCTGAAATAACTCAAACTATACTGCATTTTGGGCACTAGATACAGCTGATGATACAGAAATTAATCTCAGAAAAATTACAGTGACATTTCATTCAGCTTGGACGAATGCTTTTGACATTCGTGCAACTGTTTTTTTTTTTTTAAATAGCCCCTAAGAGTGTCATGTGCAGAGAGAAAGGAATTACTTCAAACATGTTTTAATTCTATTTGCCCTCATACTGGGAATCAGTTACTCTTCATCCTGTTCACAGGAATGTGTGTGTTGCAAGCAATGCTTGAAATGACGGAATTGCATATGCATTACAGCATAACCCACCTGGGAGAAAAATATATTTGAAATATATTTTAAAAATATTCTTCTCAAATATATTGCCATATATTTGAAATGCTACAATTTGGCTATATTAGCAGATATACTACCAGTTGTTCCCTTGGTAACACTTGATTGGCCGGCAGAGATTTTTTTATCAGATCTTTACCAATTTACTTTGACGTTTTCCCTCCCTGTTATTGCTTAAACCTTTCTACTCAATCAATATAAGTGTGCTTGTTATCAGGATCAACATGAAAAAATAGTTGATGGTTGAAACATACCCCCAAGTCAGACCGCCATCTGATATCTGTGGCTAGCTTGGCCAGGACTATCCTTACAGTGTGTTATACAGTAAATATTCGTCTGCACCCTCTAAATGAATGGAGAATGACTTGCTTGTTGTTAGCGGGGAAGTAGCAGTTAAGACTGAAGTGTTCTTTGCTCATGCTTTAGGTAGCACACATGCAATGCAAAACTTAACACAAGATAGATCACATGCAATATAAAAGCATCATTTTTATAGAACTACTGGCCATCTTAGGCACTATGCATATCATTACGTACACTACAGGGGGTGTTATCCTGTTAGGAAGAAGAAGACAATGTTATTGTTTGTTAGTTATCTAATAGTGATACATCCTATCCAGATATTCTGAAAGTGATCAAATAATAATAAAGCAATTCCCTACAAAGGTGCTTTGGTGGGGGCAGGCCTTGGCCACCAACTACTCAAAGCAGTATAAAAGACAGCAGAACCAGCCAGTCCTGTTTCAGTGACTGATATCCCCATAGGGCACATGTGATATATTGGTTTTTAAACACCTTTCTATGGCCACTTTCACACGGGGTGGACTCTGATTAGATCAGTAGAGGATCTGTCTGCTGATCCCCTGCTGATTAGAGCAGAGCAGGTGGATGACAGGTCCGTGTCTGCTCAATTTATTCAGAGTGGACACGGACCAAGCCCACTCTACTCTATGGACCAGCAGGTGTAAATGGACTCCGTTGTCCATTTACACCTGACTGCTCTCCAATCCGATCCACCTAGACCAGGGGTCTCCAAACTTTCTAAACAAAGGGCAGTTTACAGGCTTTCAGATTTTAGGGGGACCAGGCTGTGGCCATTGGGAGTAGAAATTATCCTACATCATTGGGAGTAAACAATGCATCTTTGGCATTAGGGGGAGTAAGAGCGCCCTATTCTTGCTGTAAGTTGGAGAAATAGTGCCCCATCGTTGGTGTCAGTGGGAAGAATGGTGCCCCGTTGTTAGTGACAGTGAGAGGAATAGTGCCTCATGGTTTATTTCAGTGAGAGGAATAGTGCTCAATTGCTGGTGTAAATGGGAGGAATAGTGCCCATCGTAGGTGTCAATGGAAGGAATAGTGCCTGTTGCTGACGTCAGAAGCAAGAATTATGCCCCCTTGTTGGTGTCAGTGAGAGGAATCGTGTCTTGTATCAGTGGGAGAAAAAGTGCCCCAAGGGCCGGATAAAGGCAAGCAAAGGACCACATCTGGCCCCCAGGCCGTAGTTTGGAGACCACTGACATAGATGGATCGGAGTCCATTTATACCCACCAGTCTATAGGGGTGAAGGAAGGGTCCGATCGGGTCTTCCTGAAAAACTGAAAGGCGTACCTGATAGGACTCTTCATGTGGAAGGGGCCTAAAGGTGAGATGACTGAAATTTTACCTGCACCTGGTAAGTAAAACTAAATCAGGTCATACATGGATCAAATTCCCACTGAATCAGTCTAAGGCTAGGTTTACACCTATGCAGGTTAAGTTTGAATAATTTCTGCATTGCGGTTTGCGTTACATTTTGCGTTTTTGCACTAGCATTTTTTATGCGTTTTTGACACATTTTTGATGCATTTTGCATTTTTTTTTTTTCATTTTTTTTTTCCTGTTGCTAGGCAGATTTAAAATGCAAAATGCATGAAAAACGCAGCAAAAACGCAATACATGCTTTCTGCAGCGTTTCCATTGAGTCTATAGAAACAAAAACACAATTTTTGGCGTTCAAAAAAGTCCCTTTCCAAAAAACGCACTGGGTAAAAAAGCACAGGTGTGAATATGTCCCATAGGAAATCATGTTAAATGAACTGTACTGTGTTTCTGCAAAACGCTGAAGAAAACGCTGAGGTGTAAAACCAACTTCTGGCACCACCCAGCTTGTCAAAACACGATTTTTGTTGAAGGAGTCAGAAAGGAAAACGGCTGTTAGAATACAATAGACAACAATGCAGATTCATTCATCAATGCTATTTAACATGGCGGGTGAATCGAGTGATTTCTCTCTAGCCCATCAGGCTGAAGGAAAAAAAAAAACCTTAATATATATAGTCAGCTTTATTTAAAGTGGTTGTAATCTGCTGACATGTAAAATGTACAAAGCATATCCTTCTACAGTGTGTGCTTGCCTCAGTCAAAAGCACTGAGTTTCATTTCTGTCTGCAGTCTGGTTTCTCTGCATGAATAATTTCTGACAGGCTGTGCTGACTCTAAAGGATCAAGGGAGATTGGGGAGGGGAGATCCAGCACACAGCCTGAGACTGACAACCTCAGCTATGCAGGTTCTCCTATGAGATTGTCTGGGGGAATGTGTCCCTACCCTCCACTCAGGTCTCAGATTACACTCAAATCTCCTCTCTGAGCTGTGTCGTTTGTGGCATCAGATCCCAGCCAGCTGCCTCCAGAAGCTCAGAAAAGCTGTATAAATGCTGAGCTTTAAAGGAGAGTAGAGAATACATGGCTGCAGATAAATAGGGACAACTTATGTTGGAGGATTTGTTTAATCTCTGTATACCACGTGAGGCTAGTCACTTCACTAGGTAAATGTAAGGATTTAAACCCACTTTAGAAAACACTAAATCGAAGTACCGTATTTACCGGCGTATAAGACGTATAAGACGACCCCCCTACTTTTCCTGCTAAAATTTAGTGTTTGAGCTATACTCGCCGTATAAGACTACCCCTCTTCCAATGCACACCAGTGGCAGGAATAGTGCCCCATCATTGGTATCAGTGGCAGGAATAGTGCCCCATCATTGGTATCAGTGGCAGGAATAGTGCCCCATCATTGGTATCAGTGGGAGGAATCGTGCCCCATCATTGGTATCAGTGGCAGGAATAGTGCCCCATCATTGGCATTAGTGGCAGGAATAGTGCCCCATCATTGGTATGAGTGGGAGGAATAGTGCCCCATCATTAGTATCAGTGGGGGGAATAGTGCCCCATCATTGGTATCAGTGGGGGGAATAGTGCCCCATCATTGGTGTCAGTTGGAGGAATGGTGTCCCAACATTGGTGTCAGTGGGAGGAATGGGTGTCCCATCATTGGTGTCAGTGGGGGGTGGAATAGTGCCCCATCATTGGTGTCAGTGGGGGGGGGGGATAGTGCCCCATCGTTGATGTCAGTGGGGGGGAAGAATAGTGCCCCATCGTTGGTGTCAGTGGGGGGGGAGGAATAGTGCCCCATCGTTGGTGTCAGTGGGGGGGAGGAATAGTGCCCCATCGTTGGTGTCAGTGGGAGGAAAGGTGCCCCATCATTGGTATCAGTGGGAGGAATAGTGCTCCATCATTGGTATCAGTGACACCAATGATGGGGCACTATTCCTCCCACTGACACTTGCTGACCCTGTTCTCGTATGGTGCTGCTGCAGCCAGCATATGTGGTTGCAGCAGCACCTCTACACTGACCACTTACCTGCTGGTCCTGCACTCGATTTTCGCGGGGCCGCTCGGCTCCACCCCCTCGCCGGTGATTGGCCGCCTGTGTGCCTTTCCTGAGCTACAGTTCTGGCGGCCAATCACTGGTGAGGAGGCGGAGCCGAGCAGCCGCACGAACATCCAGTGGCCGAAGTGAAGGCGCACCCGCTTCCTGGACCGGATCGTCGTGGGACCGGGACCAGGTAAGAAACAGCCGCTGCCCACCCCTGTACTTAGTGTCCCTTCCATTGGGGGAAGGGGGGGGGGGGGGCGGCGGCGGGAACGCGCCGCCCCCCTAAAAAAATGTCAGTATGCCGTATACCGGCGTATAAGACGACCCCCGACTTTTGAGAAGATTTTCAAGGGGTAAAAAGTCGTCTTATACGCCGGCAAATACGGTAAGTTGACTTTCTCTACGCTGGTACCAGACAATAATATAAGCACCCAGATTGGATTTAGTGAAAATCTAATGATACACGTATCTCTTTAGACTATAAGTCCTCCTGCACACTTGAAGTTTTTACAGCTACTGTTTTGGGCTTTAGATATTTTTTTTCTACAGTTAGTAAACCCTTTGTTATCCTATGTGTCCATGCACACATCGACTGTAATCAACGTTTTTTGTCTGAAGAAAAAAAAAAAACCCAGGACTAGTGGGTTTCTAGAGTTTAGCTGTAAAAAATGCTCTAATGCTGAAAAATGCAGTAAACCGCGCAAATCTGCGTTTTTTTTTTTTTTTGGTCAAAAAACCTCCTAAAAGCTCAAATGCAGCAAAACACTGCTAATCACGGCAAAACGCTAATGCAAAAACGCTAACAAGAGCAGAAAAACTCACGTTTTTAACATGACTTTAAACAGCTAATGTTACCAGCGTTATCAAAACGCCCCGTGTGCATGAGGGCTTACCGAGCTGAGAGAGATGTGAGATAAATAAGGTATCAAGTATCAGAAGTGCTCATTATCACTCAAAGAGATATTTTGACATGACCCTTAGGGGGAGAGTTACTAAAACTAGTGCACACAGAATCTGGTGCAGCTGTGCATAGTAACCAATCAACTTTTAACTGCAGCTTGTTCAATTACGATTTGACAATAAAACTTGGAAGCTGATTGGTTACTATGCAGTGCTGCACCAGATTCTGTGTGCACTAGTTTTAATTAATCTTCACAGTTCACATTACCTTTGGAAGTTCAGATATATTCTTCTTATGGTGAAAGGAGCTTGTATGTATTTAGATTGTTCTCGAAACTCCTGAAATATTGCAATAAAAAGATGGATTAATCATACAAGATACACAAATAATCTGTCTATATAAATATATAAATATCAGTTTTGGTTGCTCTGTACCTTCCACGCAACGTTACAGCATCTGCAAACCTCCTTTCATCCATCGCTTTCTGCACTTCTTGGGTCTTAGTTAAAGAAAACGGAAGAATATCATAATAACTGCAAATAAGGTATATAATACAACAAATATCACGTTATATTAAAGGCCAATTTAATAAAAATGCATATTTTTTATTAAATTTTTTGGTAAACTGAATGGCACTCAGGCTTCATTTAAGTCCCAAAGACTCCAACAATAAGATCTCCTCTGCGGAATTCCCAGATCTGTTCAAGTTAATTAGGCATTTCCAAATCCAAATGATGCTTGTAAAGCTGGCCATACATGGATCAAAATTGGCCGATTTCTTTTCAATCACTTTGAATGGGATTCCTACATGATAAACTACACTCCCTCGGCCTCAGAGATTCTGCTCTCTCCTGGCTCTCATCCTACCTGTCACAACGCTCTTTCAGCGTTACCTATAATGCTACCACCTCCCCCTCACTCCCCCTCTCTGTTGGGGTCCCTCAAGGCTCCGTCCTCGGGCCCTTACTCTTCTCCATCTACACCTCCTCCCTTGGCCAACTCATACACTCTCACGGCTTCAACTACCACCTATATGCCGACAACATGCAAATCTATCTCTCAACCCCACACCTCACCCCCTCAGTCACCGCCCGAATCACACACCTACTGAGTGACATATCAGACTGGATGTCGCTCCACTTCCTTAAACTGAACCTCTCCAAAACCGAGTTTCTTGTCTTCCCCCCAGCCCGGACCCCACCCCCCATTGACTTCTCCATCATGTCCAACAACGCTACCATCAAACCCGCCTCGCTGGCCAAAGTACTTGGTGTCATTCTGGACTCCAACCTATCCTTCCAGCCCCAAGTCTAATCTTTAACAAACTCCTGCAGACTCCACCTCCACAACATCGCCAAAATACGCACGTTCCTAACCCCAGAAACCACTAAACAGCTCATCCACTCCCTCATCATATCACGAATACGGCTGCCAGACTCATTCACCTTTCCATCCTGAATACCGTTTCCGCCATTCACCCCCCTCTGCCAACCCCCCTCCACCTCCACTGGCTTCCGATTGCACAACAGATCAAATTCGAAATCCTAACACTGACGTACAAAGCCGTCCACCATACTGCCCCGTACTACATCACTGACCTAATATCCAAGTACCGCCCAGCACGCACACTCCGCTCCTCACAAGACCTCCTTCTCTCTAGTTCCCTGGTCTCCTCCTCCCATGCCCGCCTCCAGGACTTCTCCAGGGTGTCACCCATCCTCTGGAACTCCCTGCCCCAACCCATCAGATTATCACCTACTCTCCTCTCCTTTAGGCACACCCTGAAAACCCACCTCTTCAGGGAAGCCTACCCACCCCCTGCTATCTTGCCGACCTCCTCAACTCTTCCTACCACTCCATCCCCCACAGCTTTCTCCTCCTGTGCCACCATCCCCTCCCTCCTAGATTGTAAGCTCAAAAGAGCAGGGCCCTCAAACCCCTCATGTTTTGCATTGTATTGTTATTGTTCTGTCACATGTTCTGTCCCCCTTTGTAATGTACAGCGCTGAGTGAACTATTGGCGCTTTATAAATACTGTACAATAATAATAATAATAATAATATACTTCTCAGTGAGTAAAATTCATGTATTTTATAGTAGAAAAGTAGACAAGTGTGAACAGGCCCTAGGTTTCCTCTGACCTTTTCTGTAATGTCACTTTTATGACTTCTTGTGGGTAAGTTCCATTCTGATAACTCCGAGTGTAGAAATCAATTTAAAATTCAGGACAACAAGAACAGTCCAGGAAAGTTAAGTTCCAGCAGTTATTTTAGCATGTTGGCCAGCTGGCTCCTGTCTATGCCTGTCCTGTCCTGCCTATGATAAGGGCAACTAAAATAGTACCATTGGCTTACAAAATCAGACAGGAAAAATGTCAGATGGCTGTGTTCTTGATAAGATAAATAATTGGATGGCATGTGACAGCAGAACAGACATGTAATTAAATCGGAGGTTGTCCAGGCGAGGAATGTCTGCCGAGTCTAAAGACTGATCTGAGCAGTGACTATATCCCTTAGGCCCCACTTCTCTCCATGCCCAGCTATAGGATGACTCAGACACTCACCATCTGTACACATTCCATGAGAGGCAGGCGCACGGCTTGGTTTCCACATAGAGATACCACACAGGCGGGGGTTTCTGGAGTAGCTTCAAGTAAGGCCAGGACACATTCCACTCCCATCCTACTGGCCTGTAGAAGAAGACAATAATCTGTCTACACAAGGCAAAATTATACTATTTCTCAATGAGTATTTCCTAAGTTTTCCCTGAGCATTCTTCCCACCTCTGTTGCAAGCCCTGGCAGGTAAGGGTGCATTCACACCGCCTATGTACCCAACGCCAATTACATGCGGGATTCCCAGTAGGGGTTCCCAAAGAATAGCTGTAGGAGGCAGCCCATTGAAAGCAATGGGAGGCTGTTGGCTCCCACAGCTAATCGCAGCCACTCACTAATCGTAATTGCTCATGCAGCTATCACATACTACCTGCATCCAGAGTTGATAATTCGCATTTGATAAATGCATGAGTGATTACATGCGAGTGCCCTTGATTAGCTGTGGGTGCTGGCAGCTTCCCATTGCTTTCAATGGAGCTGCCTCTCACAGCCAATCTTCGGGAAACTCCACTGGGGTTCTCGCACGAAACTGACATTGCAGGTGTGAATACACGCTAAGGCTGCACTAACAATTTAAACATGGACAAAGATAGATAGATAGATAGATAGATAGATTCATTAATAATCATATAATCCCTTCATAATACAACATAATCTTACAATGTTGAAAATCACTTACCAATATCCTGTCAAAGGCTGATGGGGTTCCTCCTCTCTGGACATGACCCAATATTGTCACTCGTGTGTCAAAACCAAGCTGTGAAACCACAAGCTGGAAAAGAATGAACATTGTACCTATTATCCTCTGAATTAATCTCTCGATAAAGGCTGATCACATCATACAACAATTCCCAAAAATCTCTGCTACACTTTAAGTAGCACATACCTTTAGAAGATGCATGACCTGGGAACTTACCAATAAAACCTCCAGCATAAGGACCTAAAGTGATATTAAAGGTTAATTTTATTTTCTTCTATATGTTATACTTACCTGCTCTGTGTAACGATAATGCACAGAGAGGCCCCTTACATCTGCCCCCCCCCATGACCAGAACATTCCCCAAATACAACCAATAAGAAAGAAACCATTATGCAGATTGTGGCGAGAAATGGCCACGGCACATTATTGGTGTTAAACAAAGTAAACTACAAAACTACTATAACCGTTGATGAAATTCAAACATGCAAAATATATAAAACATCTTCTGGCTCAGTTATTGTAACTCAAGCCATCCAATAAAACATCTGTACTTCTGAAACCGACCCCCGACTCCAGAGTGACAGCACCACACAAAGTGCGTGTGTGACAAAAAAAAATGGGGGGGAGGGGCTTTTCTGCTTGCAGGCTGGCCACTGATCCAAATGATCCAAGTGCCCCTTATATCCTGTCAGTCAGTGCTCCAGAAATTTCCATGACTCCCGATTGGATCCCAGGAATTCTGCTTAACAAAATTTAAAGGGGCCAACACCAAATTTCCCCACACATGATAAACCAACCATTACAAACAAGCCCATTTGAGAGGGTAGGGGCAGGGGGCGGCCACAATCCCACAAAGTGGTCCCAAAGGTTTGTGCCCACTTTTTCCATTCTTCTGGAGTCCCCCACTGGTGCTGTCTGCTCCTTCTTCCCTCCTTGGTTGGGTTGTATGCATCTGCCCTCAGAGTCTTCTGCGAGACCAGGAAGTGAAAGCAGCGACAACTGAGAGCAGCGACAACTCAGGTAGGTGTTTAGGGCTGGAATGGAGAAGGTGGTGGTGTTGTGTGTGTGTGTGTGTGTGTGGGGGGGGGGGGGGGGGGGGGGGGGGTGGCAGTTATTGCAAGAGTTTTTACCTTAAAGTGGCTGTAAACTCTTATATATACATAGTGAAGTGATCGGCCTCAGGTGATACACAGAGATTAAACAAATCCTCCTATATCAGTTGTACCTGTTTATGCACAGCATTCTTCTCCCTATATCCATTCAAAGTGCAAAATGTATACAGGATCTCTCAGCTCTGAAAAGCAAGAGGTAGCAAGCTAAAGTTACATCAATGACTAGAATTCTGAGAGCTGATTGGAGGGAAAGGGCACCCCCCTTCACATAGCACACAAGAAGAGAGCTGATGCTGTCAATCACAGGCTGTGCCGTCCCGTCACCATTTTTCTCTTGGTGTCAGTAAAATGTGTCAGAAGTGACTCATGCTTATAGCAGAGGACTGAGGCAACAGACAGAAATGACACTTAGTGCTCTGGACTAAGATAAGCACACGCTATAGAAGGGTATGCTTTGTTCATATTTCATGTCGGATGTTTATAACCACTTTAATGGAGAGAATGCATTGCAGTACAAACAAAACCTTTTGATTTTAGAACCATTTTAAGTATGAAAAGGGTGCTAAAACAAAAAAATCTCTTTTCCATTTTCAACTCTACCCAGCAGAAATGACAGGTGACCAACTGATTGATGTTTATGAGCAACAAGAATAGATCAAGTGCGGGGGAATGCAGTGCAATTTTATGCAAACATTGTCATGTTGCACTAGGAATGGGTAAGATGACAGGATCTCTTTAAAGAGACCCCAGGTATGTAAAGCTCTCTTGTGACCCTCCCCAATCCTTGCAGCTATTCCATCCATTATTTACTGCGATGTCAGTGTGGTTGGCAAGCAATAAATAATTTCCATATGCAGCTCTGATAATCAAATAAATCATAAATTATAAGATATAATCTCAAAATGTTCTGCTACACGCTATACTTAGAACTTATGTAACATATCTGTCAGGGACATTGCTCCATCGCACTAATTCTAATTAAGGGAATGAGGATTACACATAATTCTCCTCATTGATGGCAGCCAGATGGTATGAACGATAAGCCAGTTCTTAGCTTGATGTCTGTATCAGGTATATCCCTAGAAAGAGAGAGTGACATTTCCTAGAGGAAAAACAAAACCAATAAGAGTACTGGAGCTGCATGCCTATCCCGAGGTCATATTAAATATCAACCGTAAAGGGCAAGTGAGAGATCACATGGATTGTCTTTACATTGGAATACTGCAATCTGCCCAACAACAGTAACATACCGCTAACTGGATCAAGCGATGCATACCGTCTGCTGGTTTACTGTCCACCTTAGAGTGAGGTTTAACCCTTGTCAAAGGGTCACAACAGGTTTAGCATGACGTGCCCATAGCTGCTCTAAAGCATTTCATATTGATTAGACAAGGAATATGGTAATGCAGACAGGTTTCAATGTTGTACACACAAGAATTGTTTGGAATGACCTTACAATATCATATTAATTTCTTATTTTCACTTATACACCTACAAAACTTATGTTTTACCCATTGGCCTGGCCAAAACAGTAGACTCTAGCACCAGAATCCAAGCAATGGTATTTTTTGAGACAGTAATGTCTGTTCGTCGGTGTAGAGAATGTTGGCACAGGATGGGGGAGCATGCACAGAAACAGTTAAGGTAACAGGGAAGGTTAGTGTTAGGGTCGGGGTTACCGGAAAGTTTGGTGTTAGTGATGGGGGTTACATAGAGGGTTTGTGTTAGGGTCGGGGTTACAGGAGAGTTTGGTGTTAGTGATGGGGGTTACAGAGAGGGTTTGTGTTAGAGTTGGGCTTACAGGAGAGTTTGGTGTTAGTGATGGGGGTTACAGAGAGGGTTTGCGTTAGGGTCGGGGTTACAGGAGAGTTTGGTGTTAGTGATGGGGGTTACAGAGAGGGTTAGTGTTAGGGTCGGGTTACAGGAGAGTTTGGTGTTAGTGATGGGGGTTACAGAGAGGGTTAGTGTTAGGGTCGGGGTTACAGGAGAGTTTGGTGTTAGTGATGGGGGTTACAGAGAGGGTTTGTGTTATAGTAAGGGCCATCTTTAGTATAGATTGGACCCTGGGAAAACATTATCTTGCAAACCCCCCCACACACACACACACACTCTGAGACATACAAAAAAAACAGCAGGTAGACTCAAAATCAGTTTAGAGCACCAGATCAGGCAGCAATTGCAATTGGTTGCCAGAGGTTACAGCCTATTATTACCGCTCACTGACTGTTTACTAAAGGTTACAATACATAATTTCTGCTTACTGATTGGTTGCTATAGATTACTGCTTATCATTACCGATCACTGATTGGTTGCTAGAAGTTACAGCACATCATTAAAGCTTACTGATTGATTACTAGAGGTTACTGCACATCATCACTGCTAACTGATTGGTTGCTAGAGGTTACTGCACATCATTATTGCTAACTAATTGGTTGCTGGAGGTTGCTGCACATCATTACTGCTAACTGATTGGTTGCCAGTGACTACATCAGATCACTACTGCTCACTGACTGGTTGCAAGAGGTTGCTGCACATCATTAACGCTCATTGAGCAGTGGAGCAATCCCAAATAACTGCACAAGGGGACATAAATACACATACTACAAGAGATGGTCAGAAACTGAAGACATACTACAGGAGACAGTCAGAGACTGTAGACATACTACAGTAGATAATTTGAGACTGCAGACATACTACAGGAGATGGCCAGAGACTGCGGATGTACTATAGGAGGTGATCAGAGACTGTGGATGTACTACAGGAGATGATCAGAGACTGCTGATTTACTACAGGTGATGGCCAAAGACTGCAGATATACTATAGGAGATGACCATAAACTGTGGATATACTACAGGAGATGACCAGAGACTGCAGACATACTACAGGAGATGATCAGAGACGATGGATATATTATAAGAGATGACCAGAAACTGTGGATATACTACAGGAGATGGCCAAAGACTGCGGATATACTATAGTAGGTAACCAGAGACTGCAGACATATTACAGGGGATGAACAGAGACCCTTTTAGCAATGCACAGATTTACAGTTTGTGAAAAGTAGCTCAGGGTTTGGTATAACAGTCCACAGACAGTCTATGGGGGGAAGGACATACCTGGCCAGGCAGACTCAGCATCCTCTCTGAAGTCTGGGGGTGGGACTCCCACTCACATCACAGCTTCTACTATAGAAGCTTGCTACCGAGCATACAGGTTGCATGGGGCGGGCTCAGTGGAGCTCCTGGCCCTGGCCCAGCTCCCTCTCTGCTGGCTTAGAAATACAACAATGTCACCAGTGTACCCCGTGCACTCTGCAGTGTAATCATCGGGGCCCCAATTTGCAGGTAGTGTGGAATTAAGGGGCAGCTGTTTTGAGCCCCACAACAAAGACTGGGCCCAGGGCAGCTGCCCCATTTGCCCCGCATTAAAGACAGCACTGGTTACAGTCAGGGTTTACAGAAACAGCAAGTGTTGATGTTAAAGTTAGGATTTAACCACTTGCCCTCCAGAAGCTTTATCCTTTTTCATGACCAGGCCATTTTTTGCTACACAGCATTGCGCCACTGTAACCAATAATTGTGCAGTCATGCAACACTGTACACGAGTGAAATTTATATAATTTTTTCACACAGAAACTCTGTTAAGACAGAGTTATGGTTGGAGTTATGGTTGGACTTACATGAAGAGTTCATGATAGGGTTAAGTTTACAGGGGTTACAGGGAAAGTTAGTGTTAGGGTCGGGGTAACAGGAAAGCTTAATTCTAGGTCCAAGGCTTCAAGAAGGATTGGTGTTAGGGTTGGGGTTACTGGGAGATTTGTGTTAGGGTTGGAATTGCAATAACAGTTAATGTTAGGGTTGGAGTTACAGGAAGGGTTAGCGTTGAGGTTAGGGTTACAGAAAGAGATAGTGTTCACACCTGAGCGTTTTTCCTCTCGAAGCTCACAAACACTCAACAACAAAAATCCCATTAATTTCAATGGCCCCTGTTCACATTTGAGCATTTTGTCACCTGTAGCAAATTGCCTGTCGCTCAACAAAGTACATGCACTACATTTCAGGCAGATATGAAAATTTTTTGTCCCTACAGACTTGAATGGAAAATGCCTAAACAGCAAGAAATTAGTGTTTTTTCAGGCGAGTTCAGCTCAAACAGCAGTTCCCCTTCCCTTTTCTAGCTTCACTCCACACCTTATAAACAAACATCTTGTGATCAAAATGGAGGAGAGTCTGCTTCTGGAAGCTGAGACATTTATTGCTCTCATTCATGGCCCCCCTGCATCTATGATCCCAGGGAACCCCATTATAAGAGATGGGCAGGAACCACCAGAGCCTGGCAGGAAATTTGACAAAGCTTGCTGCCCCAACAGAACAGATACTCTGCTCCCCAGATCAAGGAGAAAGGTACAGAACTTCTGTGTACAGCACCCATGTGCTTGATTCTGGCTTTCCTATTGTATGTGCCTAGGACATCTACACAGGTTTCTACAGGCCCCAGCAAAAATGCCTAAATGAAAAACACCTGAAAAAATGCCTATAATATTTGCAAATCTGCTCAAAAACGCCTGAAAAATATGCTTGAAAAAACACCTGAAAACGCTCAGCTCGGTGTGAATGTAGCCTTAGGATTGGGTTATAAGAAAGGTCAGCTTTAGGATTGGATTACAGGAAGGGTTAGTGTTTGGCTAGGTTTTACAGGAGGGTTAGTGTTAGGATTGGGTTACAGGAAGGGTTAGTGTTTGGCATGGGTTTACAGGAAGGGTTAGTGTTGGGACTGGGTTAAAGGAATGGTTAGTGTTAGGATTGGGTTACAGGAAAGGTCAGTGTTCGGATTTAGAGTACAGGAAGGGTTAGTAATTGGCATGGGGTTATAGGAAGGGTTAGTGTTAGGACCGGGTTACAGGAAGGGTTAGTGTTGGGACTGGGTTACAGGAAGGGTTAGTGTTGGGACTGGGTTACAGGAAGGGTTAGTGTTAGGATTGGGTTACAGGAAGGGTTAGTGTTTGGCATGGGGTTACAGGAAGGGTTAGTGTTAGGAATGGGTAACAGGCAGGGGTGGACTGACAATTCATGGGGCCCCTGGGAAATAGGGGATCATGGGGCCCCTGTGTCCTTGCCCAAACTCAAAAAAACCTATGAAAAAGGTACCAGCGGCATCTCATGGGGCCCCCTACTGACCCCGGGCCCTCAGGCAGTGCCCGAGTTTCAAAATGGTCAACCCGCCCCTGGTTACAGGAAGGGTTAGTGTTGGGACTGGTTACAGGAAGTGTTAGTGTTGGGACTGGGTTATAAGAAGGGTTAGTGTTTGGACTGGGTTACAAGAAGGGTTAGTGTTAGGATTGGGTTACAGGATGGGTTAGTGTTTGGCATGGGGTTACAGGAAAGGTTAGTGTTTGGTATGGGGTTACAGGAAGGGTTAGTGTTTGGTATGGGGTTACAGGAAGGGTTAGTGTTGGGACTGGGAAAAAAAGGAACTGTTAGTGTTAGGATTGGGTTACAGGAAAGGTCAATGTTCGGATTGGAGTATAGAAAGGGTTATTAATTGGCATGGGGTTATAGGAAGGGTTAGTGTTAGGATTGGGTTACAGGAAGGGTTAGTGTTAGGATTGGGTAGCAGTAAGGGTTAGTGTTGGGACTGGGCTATAAAAAGGATTAGTGTTGGGACTGGGCTAAAAAGGATTAGTGTTGGGACTGGGTTATAAGAAGGGTTAGTGTTAGGATTGGGTTACAGGAAGGGTTAGTGTTATAGGGAAGGTTAAGGTTAGGGTTACAGAGATTAGTGTCAAGGTTGTGGTTGCACAAACTTAGGGTTGGGATCACAGACAGGGCTAGTATGAGGGGGACCTTAAGGTAAACGATCATTATCTGCCCCAGAATCTCAGCACTGAATGTTAATGTATCGGGTCTTGTACATAAAGCAAGGAAAGACCATACTGAATTCTGTATTCAGCATGTAGCAGCTTGCACATTACAAAGTGAACACTTGTGTTTATAGAATACTCTCTTTTTGACCCATGCATCAGGAAGTATTCTAGCCCTATTTTTCCTGTGTGCACGTGGTCTGATAAGATCTTTATGCCTTGAAACAGATTTTATTGCCCAGTTTAGAAAATATCATGATATGTTTGTATCATTTGTTTAATTAACACCAATACGATTCATGTTGCTATTCAAGAAAATGGTTTAATTATGTTATGCCAATCAGTTCCTCCGTGGAATCATAGCCTTTTTTTTTTGGCACTGGTTTGACTAACTGAATGATAGCTACAAACCCTGACCATGGAAGCCATTAGTACTCAAGTTCCAATCACATATTCCAGCTACGTTTCTCTTACAACTTTGCATTGCCCTATTGCCCAGTATTACTAAGAATATTACAGTATTAAAACTTTCGAGTCACTACTGAAAAAACAAACCTGTGATAACTGTAATATGGTTCAAAGGTTTTTTATGCTCTCACAATAAACATAGATTTGCTGACAGAGTGTAAAAATGATCCTTTTAGTAAATAAGCCCTTTAGTGCTTGACTAGTGCCAACACTGATATAATATTTTATGTCTAAGCCAAGATATTTTTACAGCAAGAGTGCAATGTAGAAATCAAATACATACCTCTTTGATCTTTTCCGAAGTGATTGCGTTGTTGTGACAATCGATGGCTCCTTCTGAGACAATAATAATATTCAATCTTTTCTTTCTTGCTCGGTTCTGAGGAAGAAGACAGACATTACTTAGTACAGGTTTAAGTTGAGTTAAATGAATTACCAGGAGCAACTGTCTAACTACCAGCTCCTATGAAGTTAATGGAATTCTAGACCGAGCGTACAGGCCTATTGAATAACACAGTGCATAAGTAACATATGATGTGCAAAGTGCAGTTTCCCATATCAATCAATTTGATTTTGGCTTACCCAACACAATGCAGTGAAAGCTGAGTTCATTAAGGTTGCAGTGGTTCACAGCCCCCTTTAGATGTACATCAATGTAGGAACTATGGATGTAACAGAAGCTCACCTCAGAAAGTTTAGTGCACATTAAGTCTTCCCATCCTTCCTCTGGAGGACTTTCAGGGAGGAAGACCCAGTCAGCTCCACAAGCTAAGGCACTGACCAAGGCCAGGTACCTGCATACCAAGAACAATGTCATGCATTTATAACAGATTTGTGTCTTTGCCTGCATACCAAAACAAAATGCTGAGAAAACTTACCCACAGTGTCGCCCCATGACTTCCAAAACAAAGGTCCTTTGGTGGCTGAAAAGATAAATGTATATTTTTATGATGAAACTATACCTGTCAAATAATGACAAATATAAACAACACCAACAATTTGAATTCCAAAAAACGACTTGAATTCTATAACAATAGTGGGAAAGTTTCTTTACCCTTTTGCCCTCACCCCCTATATAGGCCTATAGGCCTAGAGCCCCTTCCCTCTAATTGCTATACTTACCTGGATCTTGACCCAAGGCCTGCAGCATTGTTTACATCCCACTTGTAGATGGATAGGGCCCAATCCATCTACCAGCTCTATAGAAATGTATGGGGCTGAACTATATAGGCACAAACATCAAATAAAAAACCTGGCAGAGGGATTTAAACAACGCCGTGGGCCTCGAGATGAAATAAGATGTAGTCCGTCTACCAGTCCTATAGAAATTTATAGGGCACAACTGTGGAAGTGTGGACATCAGATGAAGAATGCTTCCATTTTTTGTGTGAGCAATTTGGGGGTAGGGGGGCTAAACTTATTTAGGGGAGTGGGGGCAAAAGGGAAAGAAACTTTGGGAACATTTCCCTGCTCTTTAAAGACTGTAAAAACATTGAAAACCTTTATTGAGTTTTTTTTTTTTTTAATTTGACTTTATTTAACTTTAAGTGAATTTCTTCCCAGTCTATGCCCATTAAAGTAATTACATATTCTGAACAAGTATTAAAAGCACTAAAAACAAGCCCTTGTTTATCTTTGCAGCTGTATGCATTGTGGAGAAATTAATTTGAAGTGTTCATAGAAATAAAAGCTACTCTCCCTTGAACCTACTGAACTCCAACTTCAGAGTCTGTGTTGTGATCTTTGAGGATGAATTACTCTACAATATCTCTAGCTGCAAAGGTCAGTGAGGACTTGTTTTTGAAGGTTTTTTTGGCTGCTTAAGAACATACATAAACGTCAATGTTCATTGTAAGAACACAGGTACAGTTTAAAGTACCATTCACAATACAGCAGTGCATGTTTTTTGCATGCATTGATGACAACCCCTTCTCTTTAAACAGGCTGTCAAAACACATCAGTGCATGAATAAAAATCACCTCCACTAATTGAATGGGCTGCCTTAAAGGATAAGTTCACCTTTAGGAGCATGTTACATGTTACAACCATATTTGGGATGTAACATAGCCCTTTGAACTCGCCTCCTGCGTTCCTCGCTCTGTGACAGTGGGTGAGAGATTGTCTTCTTGCATCCACTGTCACTTTTTGAAAACAGCGAGGCTGTGTGGGTGGAGAGTTTTGTGAAATAAAAGACAACAAGTACTGTCTGCCACCAAGGCAGACGTACTTGTAGCCTGAATGGGCCGCAAACGTGCTGCTCAGCGTGCTGGTAATTCACTCATTCTTCCTCTAGCTTTGTAACTGAAAGCCTGGAAGGGGATACCAACACAAAGCTAGAAGAAGACTGTGCAGGAGCCTCCAGATCATTGGATTCAGGTGTTCCAATCACCTCCATGGCCACAGGTGTATAAAATCAAGCAACTAGACATGCAGACTGCTTCTACAAACATTTGTGAAAGAATGGGTCGCTCTCACGAGCTCAGTGAATTCAAGCGTGGTACCGTGTTAGGTTCCCACCTGTGCAATAAGTCCATCCATGAAATTTTCTTGCTACTAAATATTCAACAGTCAACTGTTAGTGGTATTAGAACAGAATGGAAGCAACTGGGAATAACAGCAACTCAGCCACCAAGTGGTAGGCCACGTAAAATGACAGAGCGGGATCAGCGCATGCTGAAGCACACAGTGCGCAGAAGTCGCACACTGTCTGCAGAGTCAATAGCTAAAGACCTCCAAACTTGTGTGGCTTTCAGATTAGCACAACAACAGTGCATACAGACTTTCATGGAATGGGTTTCCATGGCCGAGCAGCTGCATCCAAGCCTTACATCAGCAAGTGGAATGCAAAGCTTCGGATGCAAACACCTTTGAGATTAATTAAAGCAGAGACTGCGAACCAGGCCTTCTCGTCCGACATCAGTGCTTGACCTCACAAATGCACTTCTGGAAGAATGGTCAAACATGGACACACTCCTAAACCTTGCGGACAGCCTTCCCAGAAGAGTTGAAGCTGTTATAGCTGCAAAGGGTGGGCCAACTCAATATTGAACCCTACGGACTAAGACTGGGATGCCATTAAAGTTCATATGTAAATATGCGTAAAGGCAGGTGTCCCAATACTTTTGGCAATATAGTGTATATAATGTACATTCACATCAGTCTCTGCTTATAATCTAAGGTCCCTAACTAACATTCAAACATATATATACTAGCTCCAATTTAGACAGGAGACATTTAACCTACCAGCATGACTTTGGACTGTGAGAGGAAGCCTGCGCAAGCATAAAGAGAACATGCAAACTCCAGGAAGGTAGTGTCATGGTTGGGGTATAAAATCAATGACACCAGTGCTACTACGGAGGAGTGCAGACCACTATGCTATGGTATTTATCTTTATGTCTGTAAAGCGTATGCTCTGTAAACTAATCAACAGTTGTGTGCCGTATTCTTAAAAGGTGAGAAAATATCTGTGGTTTACAACCACTTTACCACAGAGCACCAGAGCAGCCTGTTCATCTTTCCTACTAATGTTACGAAAATTCTCGTACTACAGAATAAAAATTCAGAAATTATGTAATGTATTGTATTGTATTTTCAGCCGAAAACTCTACTGATTAAATGAAAATCATATGATCTGGTATTGTATGAGAAAAAATGTTGTGCTTCTCCTTTCGAATAATTTCGGATGATCAGGTTATCATACAATTGATTTGAAAGCGGTATTTTTTTGTACCATTTTTCTGATCATGTGTACTAGGCTTAAGACTTTAGTAGGAGCAAGTGTTTATTTTCAGTAGCAAATCTTCTACATAACAACAGAAATATGAGAACACAAGCTTTAAAAATGTGTAAGGCCCCATTCAGACGGGCAATCTGATCAGGTCTGCCTAATAAGGTGGACCTTATTGGATGGTTCATTTACTCCTATGGACAGGCGGGTGTAAATGGACTTTTGTCTGTTTTCACCCGCCTACTTCTGGGTCTGATCAGGCCCACTAAAAAAACAGGAGAGGACGCTGTCCTCCTCCATTTAGGTGGATTGGACTGGATGTAAATGGACAATGGACAACGTTTACTCCTGGCCGTCCATAGAGCACAGCAGGCTCTGCCCATGTCCACTCTGCAGATACTGAGCAGAAACAGATGTGTCATCCACCTTCTCTGCTCCAATCAGCACGGGATCAGCTCACAGATTTTCCTGCAAAGCAATCCGCCCCGTGCTGAAGAAGCCAAAGTCAAGTAATAATTATTTGAGTTTAACCCTACAATAATAACTGAAACTGAATGACAGCACACTAGACATTTCCATTAATGAATATACATCAGTATTTTCTAGTAGAAGACTGCCTTTTGATGCGTCCATGGGTGCAATGAGGAGGGGGATAGGAAAGTATAGCAAACCATGGCGGTGCAGGGTCCCCTGAGGACCTGATAACAGTCATTACTACCGCCTCTGCTGCTGATTGTTGTATACGACACACCTTCATCTGTTTGGCGCCCGCTTATCTCTCTTTTCATGTAAATGGTTAGTGTGCTCATCTTGGACCTGTTTCCTCACTTGCCCTCTGTGTCTAATGGCTGTTGCTGTACTCTGTACACTGACAGCCCGGGGACATTTCCATTCCACTGCCTAATGATTTCTTTTTAACCCTCTAATTTTAATGCTGACAACCAAGCCAACTAGAGCAACTCTATAAACAGCACATATAAACAGCAACACATACAAGCATAATTCTGATATAAAATCACCCTTTAGATCTGTCATAAGTCATTTTACAATTAAACCAGTTTAGTAATTTGAAATCTGTCTATACACCAAAATGTCAGATTGCCAGCTGAAAATTGAAATCTGGCTTGGAGACAGTGACTAATTTACAAGAGACATGCAAAGGGTGGTTCGGATCCCAATCACGGCACCATCTGCTTGGAGTTTGCATGTTTTCCCTGTGCCTGCGTGGGTTTCCTCCCACACTCCAAAGACATGCTGGTAGGTGTATTGGCTTCTGTATAAATTGGTCCTAGTATGTGCATGTATGAATGTAAGTTAGGGCCCTTCAATTATAAGCCCCTTGAGAGCAGGGGCTGATGTGAATGTACAATATATATATATATGTAAAGCGCTGTGAAAATTGATGATGCTATATAAGTACCTGTAATAAATAATAATAAAAGGGGAGGTACTTATAGGAGTTTATATGGGTTAGTGAATTCAGGGTGGGCATCCCAAGCATGGTGTTCACAGTTTACAGGGAGGATGGGGGGTAGGATAGTGGCACTGGGTCTAATGTACAAAATGTACAATCTTCACAGTCCCCCCTTCATTATTCCTGGCAGCCAAACGATGTAGCAGGTGTGGGAGGATCACAGACTGTGCATTGCTTTAAAGAGCTCGACAGGTAAAACAGACATTAAAAATGAGTAGATCAGAACGTTCGGCATCAGCATCTGTGCTGTTATGTGTGTGGACTGGTATCCGTTGGTACTTATGTTTCAGGAATCAGAGAAGGAAAGTATGCCGTTTAAGTCGACACTAGGGTTACATTAAGCGTTTAGGTTAGATTGACTCAGTATTAGGGTACAGAGTTATGACTGAAAAGCAATCTGTAAACAGAGAACATAAATGAAAGGTCCTCCTCCATTCACAGATTGCGTTTAATTCATGGAAGCCATTCTACAGCTTTTATGCATGGAGGAGAAGGGCCAGAATGGCGGGCATTGTCAGCACTCATTCTGAGTGTCTGTCACAGATCCAATACTTGTACTAACCCACAGAGCACCAGAAGATTACAGCGGTGGGATATGGGAGAGGAGCAGATGACTTCAGATTTCCACTAAGCAACAGCACAAGGGACACTTCACATTAAATCTAAATAACATCACTTGTGCTGATTTTTTTTTTTTTTTACGTTACCTAAACTTAGGC